GACGTGCGCCGCGCCGACCCCAAGGGGCCCGGGCGCGCGCGGCGGGAACAACTCGACCCCAGTGTATTTCCAGAGCGACGGAACGACGGCGCGCCCGCGACACTCGTCGGGATAAAGCGTCTCGAAAAATGGATGGATGGATGGATGGATTACGGTCAATGCGTCACTTTGGGGGAGAAGAAAAGGCAGACTTTGATCCGACGACAATCAGGTTGTGTTTTTGATGTTCAAATTTGGATTCACAGCAAACGATGAAAAGTTGAAAGTGATGCAGCACTTTCCACCGCCATGGAAATGCGGCGCCAATGGGCAACAATTTTCCACGGTTGTGGCTCGACATTCCAAAGAACAAAATTCAAACTTGAGAATGACTAATCTCATTGTAGCTTTGTTTTCCTCATGGACAGCGACAGTGGGCCATCTGCCGCTTTTCCAAAGCGAAGGGGTCCGTCCCCGGGAGCCCAAAACTTGGCCAGCCGGCCCCAATCGATAATAATCAAGGACTGCGGTCGCCGTGGCAACGGCCGGAGGTATGTCCACACCTGCCGTCACCGCTCGCCGTTCTCCCTTGTGTCCTAATGGCGATCATGACAGCCATCTGCCGCATCTCGCCGCCCGCTTCCGATTGGCCGCGTGTGGGGGGGCCGGCGCAAAGCTGCGACTTGAGCTGAAAGCGATCCCGCTATGAGACATCTGGCCCCTTCCGAGCCAGCGGTCGGCCCTGTTGACTGCAGCCAACCGGGTCACGCGTCCTCCCCGGTCGGCAACGGTCGACCGATAGCGCCGCTTCGGACCAAAGAATCCGAGCGGAACCGCATAACGAGAACCAATGAGCGAAACCACGCGCAACTCACCAAGCGAAACCGGCCAGACCGGCGATGGGCCAATGAGCCGGCTCCAACCAAAGCCACCGCTGACTTTGTTCCAACGGACCGCCCGCGCCCCACGGGAGCCGTCGTACCAAACCGGCGTTACCGACAGGAAGACCGACGAGCCGGTTCCGAGAGAAACAAATCCACTAGGCGGGAGGAGGAACGACCGAGGACCGGCAGAACA